AAGCTAGAGTACTTGGAGAGCAGGCACAGGGAGAACATGCAAACTTTGCAGAGAAAGGCACAGGGTCGACTGGCGCTCGAACCCTAAGGATCACATTAAATAAATCCAATAAAACCTTTTTGGGATGCCGGTTAAAGTTATGTGGGTTTTCAAATCAGTAACCTTACAGACTTGTAATGGACATTTGTCATTATTTTAATATTGGGGGAAAAAACCCACTAAATAATAATAAAAATCTGGTAACATGAAGTTGCAGTAGAAGAAACAATATGTTTAATATTTCACAATACCTCAATAAGCAATATTCATGAGGTAGGACATATACATAGAAGTACATATAGAAGAGGGTACATGCAATTGATGACAGAACTATACCATAACCCACACCAGCCACAAATAAATACTAACTCAAGTGTGAAATTAAAAACATGCCCACAATGTTATCTGTCCACACCTACAAATGGTGCAGCCAGTGTTTAGTTGAGCTATTACCATAGCATGGTAATTCATACCCTTCCTCTCTATTTGTACAGCAGGATTTATTTGTAGCTAGGGCAAATATTAACTAATGTTAACAGAATTTCAATCAACAAACACATGGACACTTGCAAAGGTTCTCACAAATTATAGATGAAAATAATCTGCATATCTGTTTCTCTCAAACTGTTTCCTTTCAAAATTCAAGTCGTCAGTGTTTCTTTGAACAACAAAAAGAGAGATGACACTAAATGTTTATAACTGATGCACAGATAGGATCCTACACATTAGATGGATTTTAACTCAAAGGCAAGTAAACAACAATTTTCAGTGTCTAAACTCTGATTCAAAGGGCAAAAGCCCCAAAAGACGGCATGTTAAGTGCTAAATTTTAGGTATGCAGTTGGTGAAATGCACAAAATAACATTGTAGTTTGCCAATCAATAAAAGGGAAAAACGTTTACGCAGCCTCATTATTAGTCACTGAAACATCTAATTAGAGTTTTATGTAGAGGAAAGGCTGTGCATGGCCTGCACACACACACACTCACACACACTAATCAGTACAACTCCTGATCCAGTGTTGACCATTGCCCTTCTCAAAAATACATACTGCAGGTTATTACAGAAAAAAAAATTAGTCATTTCAACATTTTCTCAGAAGGTGATTCTAATCAAAAGCAAAATATTCCTGCCTAACATTTACAACTTCCTTCTCTCTACAAGTCACTGCTGCCCAGTCAGCAATAATACGTGTAGTCCACTTTTAGAAGATTAAGGGTGAAAGCACCCTTTACCATTCTGTTCTGGTTTTACTGCGGATTAGTTGACTGGGCTCCCTACAGTCTGTCTACAGCCACTTCTACCAAATGGGATCCAATATATTTGTAGTTAAATTCAGTTACTGTATTTATGAGAAATGACTGAAGTTGTCACTGTGTTCAAAAGTGACAAAAGACGGAAATAAGCAAAAGAAGTAGAACAGATCTGTAGTGTGTCCATACGCATGGATGTTAATTAAAAAAAAAATGCACTTTATGAATAGAGATTATTGGTGTTGACACACCAAGATCACTTTTGATCTTCTCCTTTCATCCTACTGACCACATGCTCTATTACAACTTAATGCAGCTACAAGCTTGGGGCTATAAAATTTACAACACCTCAAGGCTGAACTGATTAAATGTTGTATTCCCAATTTGTAGGTCACAGTAGCACATGAGTCCTTCCAAAATAAAAGTCTTCTAAATCTGAATCTTTAGTTACCCTTGACATTTTTCTTGTCCTTTTAGTATCACTAATTATTTACAATGTAGTGACTATAAATCACCACACAAGTCTCAACATTTAGCATTTAGTATATTAATAGTCACATCAAGAGCCATACTTTAAAACCGATTAAATGGGCCCATAAACGATGAGAAAAGGATGCATAGCAGTTCTACGATTTTCTTTTTCAAATTATTTAAATTTACATCATTTTTATACGAGTCATTTACAACAAGTTGTAAATTAACAGTGATTTTCACAGTAAGTGGCAGCAAAAATGCAAAAACAATCCATGGCGAGCTGAAAGTGCAATCCTCCCACTGCAGCCACTTGTAAACTTTGGCACTTCGATGTGTCAACTTCATGAGACTCTTCAAAAGTTTTCCTTATTTGTTCAAGTCCTCAGATGAATTTCTTTGCTACTCCCCAGTGGTTGCTCTGTTCTACTTGTTTCTTTTCTAGTTCAAAAAGAGAGAGAAAGAAAACAAATACAGCCTTGATCACCTCTACCTGACACAGACCACACTCAGCCATTAGTGCTCACTGCTTTTTTGTGTCAACTCCTCTCTGTTACTTCTTTATTTCCCAAAGCAATGGAGGATCTGTCTCTCTCACCGGCCCTGGACAGAGTACTGCAGAGCATTGCAATTTCACACACTCACGACAGATAAATCTTTCTGCTTGGCTGGTCATGAATCTTCCAGAAGCTGAGTGGCCACACAATGTGGCACTGTCGGACCTGATGTTAGAGAAGCTACACCCTTTGAAACTTGGGATGCACCTGCACTGACTGGAAATCTTTTTTTAATTAGCTCTAAGAAAGTAAGAGAGCATGAATTCAATTAGAAAAAGATAAACCAAGTCACACAATATGAACACACATAAACACTATCAGTCACAACTGTGAGGAAATATCTTTAACCTTAAATAAATGAAGCTGTAGTTAGTTTCCAAGCTGGTTTTCAACCCACTTCTATAGCCCTCAATCATGAGATGCTATCCTACTAAGCGAGCCATGACAATAGACTGCCTATGGAGCTGGACACAGACAGAATATCAATGGAGCCTTGCTGCCCTGAGGCACACTACTCTTCAGCTCTCATTTCCCAAATGTGAGCCTCTGGAAAGAAAATGGCCCAACCCTAAACTGATTAATACTGTCCATCCTGAAGCAATGATTTTTAAAAGACTATTCCAGTGATTCAGTAAATCCTTTGTGCTTACAAGTTACACTGAACTCCCATTGAATGAGCAGAGCTGGAAAGTCCACGTTAGTCAGTAAGCAAACAGCAGTTTGCAAAGCAGTAAATCCGCTTTGAAAAGAAAATGCAATGTCCACAATGAAAGAAAAAAATATGATGAGGAGCTCTAGCGATAAGTCAATTACACTTTCTACAGAACAAATGTTGTACTGTATCATTTTGAGCAAGAGTAAACTGAGGAGGAAATGGTGCTGAGGTGAGGAGAGAAGCAGGGACAGAGCAAGAAGACGGGACACTGCCGCTACATCATCCGATCAACCAGAACACTAGACTGGATCAAACAGACGACAGCTGGTTGTGTACTTGTATGCCAAACCACACAGCCCACAACAAACTGCTTTTGCTGCCATGAACGGAATAGTTCAAAAATGCTGATGGAGAAGTGGGAGCGAGGCAGTGGTGCAGTGGATGAACTTGTGACAGCCACCTCAATTCCAGGGGTTACCTAAATCACTCTGAGTTGGAGACTTTTTTAAATGTTTCTCATTATTGTAATTGTATTTGTATTTTAATGGCACTACCAATCAAATGTTTGGAAACACTTTCCCATTCAGTTCAATGGGAAAATGCATCCAGACTTTTTACTGGCAGTGCAAATCTGAGAGAACCTACTTTACAATACCTCAAACAGAGTCAAATTAAGATGCGTGTCAGATTTGGAAAATAAGTACATGCTTTAGTCCCCAGGAAGCTCTAAAAACCTAAACTTGACAAAAAGTGGTACTGGTCCAAGTCAAATGGCACTGAACTGAGCAGTGTCCCTTTACAAGGCAGAGCCAGATAGTTGCAGAGGGGTTTTTATTCATGCTACTTAACACTAAACTAAAGAAAAATTACACTGGTGCTTATACTGTACACTAGGCCTTCGGATGCTTGCCATTATCTAGATGGATAGACAGCATTTCAAGGCTTAAGGTGGTTCATTACTGTGCAATAAACTGAGCTTTCTGTGCACTTATTTCTTTGGACAGGAGTGAATTAAAAAAAAAGTTATGTTTTTTGATGAATGACAGGTTGTTAATTCTTTAAAGCTGATGCACATAGAGTGGCTAATTTATTAAGTACACCAAGCTAAAACTATTGCAGTCTAATACAACAGTCCTGCAATAAATCAATCCCTTTTAAAGGTGATCATGTTCACAATACTGTAACTATTTTACTTAAAACCATTTGAGGTTTTGAGTCACCTGTATGATTATTTTGCAGGGTGTAGTTTGTCCTGCTATATCACATTATACAGAAAGCTATTTGTTATTTGCACAAACCTCAATAATAAGTAAATAAGGTATAAAATAACATAATGGAGTATCAGTGAGCATTATAAAGTGCCAATTTTATTTAAATAAATGTGCTGGTCTTTAAATGTTTAATTCTGTCATTCCCAAATATTAAGGTCTGTTTAAACCAACTCCACATCACATCTTAGAAGGTCTCCTTTGGCTCCTGGCGTAGAGAGAGAGAAAAATTATGGCCTTGTTCTAGACGATCCAAATCATGTGTTCCTTAAATAGAGACTCGAAGGAAGAAAGCTCACACCGACATATGTTGATCAGAGTTAAGTCGACGCATTTTCCTGCAGTTTTGAACATATCATTAAATATTCAGCAACGCAGACTATAACACCTATTCCCCAAGTCTTGATCTTTGCATTCATGCACATAGCTACAAATTACATTATCCCGGAGGCGTATGGAGCTTTGAGCCTTCAGAGCACATGACCAGGCTGATGCGTATGAAAGAGAGTCGATGTCCCTGGATAAAGCCATACAACGCGCAACATGAGGGATAACCATCCACGAACACTACTCATATCAAATAAATGCCATGATTCAAAAGGACTGCAATGACACCTGCGCGTAACAGGATCCAACAGTGGATGTCATTTACAAAAACTGCTGCGCTCAGTGTGAATTTAGCTGACACAACTTCACGTATATAATTAATCCCAACAGCCTTAAGAAAACTCAGCAGTAATCTAAATTATTTTCTTACCTCACGGGCGCACCCGCTGTAGTCCAAGTGCACCAAAGGTCATTGCGCAAATATTCTGAAGACAATATGTGGGAGTGATGAGAAGTAGGTTATACTGCACAATGCTTAATCCTGTTCTTCGTTTCTGTCAGACGTCGTCAACCCACTAATCTTCAAAGCGAGAGGGGTCTGTGCCTCCCGGGCGCTCAGCCACTGTGTCTGTAATCTCACCTCTGCCAGTTTGTGTGTGTGGCTCACTTTCTCTTGTGCAGCCGGTCAGACAAAGTTGTCCGTGTTTATTTCACCAACGAAGGCGACCCAGCACAAAAATGTTGACGTTTTCCAAAAGTGTAAGAGGTCGGCGCGGTCTTCAGCAGCGCAGGCTGTTTACTATTCCTGACAAGTGGCAAGTCCAACCACCCGCTGAAGGCATTCACACAACAGGCATGTGAAGACGGCCGAAGCCCTAGAGCGATTCGCCGGGTAGATTAATCCATGAGTTGTGTTGGTCTATCACCTGCTTCATCTTTTTTTGCACTCTGGCGCCACCCAAAGTTGCGCGGCTTCTTGGAGTGTTTCAGAGCACCTGTTCCCAAATCTCTAATCAGCTCCCTAGCACTTTCCCTCTGTGCCTTGTCAAGTTCTCCATTGTGAATCATTGTTTCTCTCTGTCTGTTATGACCAGTTGCCTGCCTTTTTTTTTTTTTTGTCTGTTCGGACTGGTCAACTGTTAACAAACCCTGTTATGAATAACCAACACAGAAAGCTTAGTTTTCATGAAATCTGTCTGTCTCTGGCCCTTTTAAAGAAAAAGAATATCCTTTGACACTTAATGGCTTATGCTAATTTTATGAACTCAGTGTCTCAGTGACATGTTTTCAAGTGTTGACAACCTGCACAGTATCTTTCCAGGGACGAAAAGTTCAGCTGTGATTTAAAACTTATGATTTATAATACAGTATAATCCGATTTGATGATTTTACACTTGATAACTCTGCTGATTGTGTCGTTTACAAGAATAATATTAACACGTTTGAAAAGAGCAGAGGTCCAACGTGCCTCTCCATATTTAAACCTATTTCATCTTAATAACCTGAAGGCACAAACCTGATTTCTAGTCCCTGTTTTCAGCGTCATGGGGCCAAAATAGCAAATACTGTTTATTTTATTATTATGTGAGGTGTCTCTCATCTGTGAGCCAGGAGATTCTCAGTCAGTTTAACACAAGGGGGACCTTTCAGCAGTGAACACTATATACTGTGTGACAGTATGATTGAAAATGTCCAAACAAAGATTGATGTTATACTTCATCTAAGAGATGAGTGAATTTCAGGTGGGAATGTTAAAAGGGATTAAAACCCACATTAGAATCTGAGACAGGCATTAAAGCAACATATGCTTCTCTACACAAACTAAATGGCTAAGCTCAGCACCAGTACTGAATGTAATTAATCACTGGATAGAAGCGGGAGAAACCTTATTATGCATCACAGGTTACTTCTCATGAAAATGGTCCTTGAGTTGTCCTTTACTGATTTTCGGGTAGGTTACGATCATTCATCCATACACACTAAGCTTTATTGTAATAACTCAGTCCGTCTGGTCCAATCAGGGGTTTGGCCAATGACTGGAGAGAGATGTTTAATTTAATTAAAACCTATTTGCGGTTGCCTGACAGATCCATTAACCAAGAGATTTAAAGGATAGAGTATTGTTGTTAAAGCACAAACAATAACAGATATTTCAGGGGAAATTAGCACTAAATGGCTCAACATCTAGAAACTGGCCAAACTGCAAATCTTACAGTAAGCTCTCGATTAATAAAACATGTGGATTATATCAAAGATATGTGATACATGGAGGGTTTTGTCTGAGAGAAATCTATGTCCTTTCTTGATATATCAGAGCTCAGTCTTCTTTACTATGTAGTAGCATTTTCTGACAGCTTGAATGACTCTCCAGTACCTGTGTGTCTGTCTGTCTTTGAATCTTAGCACTACTTTGATTTACATAAAAGATATCAGTTTACTGCAACTCTCGTTTTCCTAGCAATTTAAGATCTATCCAAAAAAATGTTCTCACTTTACGCTCTCATTTTTTAAGCAAGTACCCATTTGGTTCAGTCTTTGAAAAAGTAACAAACAAACACAGAATGTGCTGTTATTTATTCAAATGTAACATAATATCTCTCAAATCTACATGGCATGCTGTTGACCTATTTTTTCTATTCATTTTGATACAAACAAAGAAGACAAATACATTTTTGCCCAAAGTTTCTGTTCAAGAACAACAAGCCCTTAATCAGTGTTTTAAAAATCCAGGAGCATGCTGTGATGGAATACTTGTCATTTTTCATAATTAATTAACATACTGGAAATGTGAACTGTGACACAGATATCACAGCTCAAAATGCAACACAGTTAGTCATATGCCTAACTAGAGCACTCACTGTGTTATGCCTGTGACCAAAACAGCCCATCCTTTGCCAAATCTGAGTCTCTACCACTAAAAATAATCTCATGTTTTCCCTTTACTGCCTTATATCATTATTGCTGGTGATTCCACAAACTGTCTTCTAAAATCAGATAATAATCTACCGAACCTCCCAGGCAGCGCTCTTCTTGGTATGCACAGGGTAGCACATGTGTTAGGATGGATTCTGGAATGGGGATCAAACCAAACAGGAGTCTGGCCAGTGGAAGGTGGTTGCCAGTCACAATGTATCAGAGGCAGGCAGTAGTCAGTCATGGATGTGCCAGCAGATTTCACTCCACTGTTATGTAAACAGACTTTACAGGGGAGCACATGCCCATTTGTGGCTAATTAAGCTTTACCATAATCATCGCATTAAGCTGCACCGGATGAGATAATGCAGATCTTTAAAATGCATTTACTGTATCTATTGTTACTGAAATCAATCGGCAATAAAATACTGAATAAGGCATCATGTTAAATAGTCTTATTAGGTAACACAGCACAAAATATACAAACTAGGATTTATCAGCACATTGAAAACTCATTAATCAACATATTATTATTGTACTCTTTGTTAAATCTGTACAGAAACTGAAGTGTAAAAACACATAATGATTTTATGGGAAGGTTCTGTCCAAGACTACCTCCCGACTGAGAGCAGAGTCTTCCTGGAGTGAGTAAGCATGCTTCCTGATGTGCTGACCTATTCCTGTACTGTCACTGTTAGATATTCAGCCACAGCTTCACTACAGTAACATTCATGTCTCTTCATTATTCTGTTGTTGGTTGTTAGTTTTTTTATTTAAGCAGCTGAAGAACATATCATTCTGTAGACATCCATAAACAGTTTGTTAATAGCAGGTGTATGTCAGTGACTTGGGTTGCTCTAGTTTTTTTAATGCTAAACTCAGTGTGGGTTGATCGACACTACAATTTGTCCAGCTTACACTGACTTAGTTTAAATGCGCCCTGAGCGGAAGACAAATCTGCCAAAGGGCTGGGTGAGAAGACCTGTCTTTATAACATATGGCTGAAGAAGTCTGAACCAATCAATACTTGTTTTATATAGAACCATGGTATGCAGCAATTGAATCGTTGCTCAAGGCAAGATGTCAACCTGGGAGCTCTGTATGTGTGGACTCCCGTAAGGATTCTTGAAGCCATCCTTCAAATTGCTGTAGTAACCATCCAGAAAGTGCTGATTAAAGGACCGGTGTCTTTTTTTTGTTTTTCTGAATTAGACTGAAGGAGATTTATAGCTTTTACATTTGAAGTGAATCATGAAACCAGAGTGTGTTTCAGAATTAAATGACAGCTGAACCCCTTTTCTATTTCACTTAATAAAGTTTTCCAGTTTAATTGGTGGATACCCTGGGGCAGACTCACAACACACTGGCAAGATTACAGGTCCCATCTGGTCTGGGAAACTCCCAGGAACCCCCAGGATAAGGTAAAGTAGGAGGCTTGAAGGAGGTAGACTTTGATAATCAGTGGAAAACAAATAAATAGACCTCTCTAAAAACACATGTGCTGTGTCTCAATTCAAGGCCTGGCACCTTCAAAGTCTGCATTTGTAGACTGGATACAGGCCAACAAGACCTGTCCCATTTAAAGTGTTTCAACAATTGCATACAAGATGGGCAGTCTTCATTAGTATCCTGTACTTGTAAAGACAAGAAATACCATAAACTGTAATCTTGTTGTATTTACACTAATTTGTCATCAATCAAAGCTAAACTTGAAATGCCTAGAGAGCAGAGGCAGGTTAAAGTGTGGCAGCATTCATCCTGCACAAGCCTTGTCACAACCTGACTCAGAGTAAAAGATGGGAGGATAAATCACATCAGAAATAAAAAAAAAAACATTTAGATGTTATGCTAAAATAAACTGAAAGATAAAGTCAAAACCTTATCATAATTTATTGTTGAAGGTCTTCTTGGAAATTGAGAGAAGGTAGAAATGGACTAATGCTGAAGCCGCTCCTGAAGTGCTTCCCTCCTCTGCCAGAGCACAGAACCACAGCAGGCAGATACAGTATGTTAGAGGATCCAACCCCCTGAATTTAGACAAGGCTTTAATCTGGGAGACAGTGTATCATGTGCAATTATAACTTTTAACCACAGTCTTTTATTTAATTCTTCTGCTTTTCACTAAAGATAAAAGATAACACTATTAACCGACCACATAAGCTAAGGCAAACCTGACTGACAGTATCTCATTATTCCTTCACATTTCCCTAAAATATGCCATCCCCATCACTATTCTGCTCTTGTAATAACTTTTCCATGCTTTTGTTCCCACAGAGTTTTAAAGTCATTAACCTGGTGGCAGGGGTGCTGAAGCGCCAACAGATCCCAGAAATCACAGTGTGTGGATATATGCGTGCCATGAGCCCTATTGTCTCCAGAGAGATTTGATTTATATCCTGCCTCAGTCTGTTGTTTGGCATCTTCTCACTCCCTGCTACCTTCTGTCCCCCTGATCACCAGCTCGCCAGCCCTTCTCTCATCAAAACACATTCTTTCCATGTGAGCACTCTTGCACAGCCACATATACACACTCATAATTAAAATTAGATAACCCACCACAGTAGAGATGCTATCAAGTGTTTTGATACATATTCCAAATCTTTTTTATATAATGAGTGAGCCTTAATTCTATAAAGCAAGGAAATAGTCACAATATATTTCTGGGGTGGCATAAAATGTGCAAAAGGAAAGAAACATACAAGTATGTTGTCACAGTCATATTTCACCTGGGTGTGGAGGCTGACTGTGATCTGTTTTTATGTCTAAACAAAGTGAGATCAAGACCTGAAGCGAGTGAATGCACAGCTGGAACAATCATTCATCCCAGCTGTGAAAGAGAAAGAAAGAAAGAAAGAAATCAGTCTGGAGACACAAGTATGATTGTCAGCATCCATTATGCGGGGGAATAACATGGCAGCATCATCCACAGGTGTTGCCCAAGCATTACAGATCAAATAGAATTTATGTAAAAGCAGGTGAAATGAAAAACATCTTCAGGGCACTGAGACTTCATCAGACATATGGATAAACCT